CATGCCAGGAAGGGTCCCAGAGCGCTTAACAATGGCAAACCCCGAGATCAAGCCAAGGGGAGGGGGAAGGTGACCGTAGACACGGTCGAGAGGAAGGACTTCAGGCGCAACCTGAAGATGGGGAAGGAGGGGACAAGGCGAAGGGGTTGAGAGAGGGAGTTCCAAAGTTTTGGGGCGTAGTGGCTGAAGGCACAGCTGCTGATGGTGGAGCGGATGATTCAGGGGATGCGGAGGAGGCTGGACCCAATAGAGCAGAAGCAGTTGGGAAGTGCTTTAATAATAATAATAATCCTTGCATTTGATATAGCGCTTTTCACGTCGGGAGGACGTCCCAAAGCGCTTCACAGAACACACTGTAAAGTGAATTGACTGTATATTTGTGGGCGAACGCGGCAGCCAATTGCGCACAGCAATGTCCCACAAACAGTCGTAGATTGAAAATGACCAATTTATTATTGTTTTGGTTTTGGAGGATTATTATTAGGCTCTGTGTGGAGTAAGGAAACTTGCCCGAGGTTTCGCCCTCTGCCTGGAATTGAACTCAGGTCTCTCACTTGCAAAGCGAGTGCTCTAACCACTGAGCTACAGGACTCCACGAGGAGTCCTTTGAGGAGAGAGGTTAGAGAGACAACAGGGTGGGGGGTCAAGGAATGGAGGGATTTAAACACTATTGTGAGGATCTTGAAGTCGATCCGCACTGTGACAGGAACCAGTGGAGTTTGGCAAGACTGGAGTAATCGGGGTATGGAGCTTGGTGCGGGTGAGAATGTGGAGAGCAGAGTTTTGAATGAGCTGAATTTTGTGAAAAGTGGAGGAGGGGAGACCAGCGAGGAGGGTGTTAGAGTAGTCCAGCCGAGAAGTGACAAATAATATTAATAATAATCCTTGCATTTGATATAGCGCTCTTCACGTCTTCTCGACGTCTCAAAGCGCTTCACAGAATAGACTGTAAAGTGAATTGACTGTATATTTGTGGCGAAATGCGGCAGCCAATTGCGCGCAGCAGCGTCCCACAAACAGTCGTGGATTCAAATGACCAATTTGTTTTTGAGGGATTATGATTAGGTGTGTGGAGTAAGGAAACTTGCCCAAGGTTTCACCCGGCCGGGAATCAAACCCAGGTCTCTTGCTTGCAAAGCGAGTGCTCTAACCACTGAGCTACAGGATTCCACGACAAAGGCATGGACAAGGGTTTTGGCAGCTTTTGGGGTGAGATATTATCAGAGACAGGCAATGTGATGGAGGTGGAATAAAGCAGTGCTGGTCAGGGACCGGATGTGGGGGAGGAAGGCTAACTGGGGATCGAACCTAACACCTAAATTGCGCACCGGTTCGGAGAGTTTTAAGGACAGGTCGGGTAGGTTGAGGAGGTCAGAACCGTGGGACAGAAGACATCGGCAGGAGTCAAAGAGTATGGCTTCCGTCTTGTTGGTGTTTAATTCCAGGAAATTTGTGCTCACCCAGCTGACAGAACATCAGGGGACTGGAGCTCCCAGCTGGAGGTGGAAAAGTAGAGTTGAGTGTCATCCACATACATGTGGAAGTTTACCCTGTGTCTGCGGATGACATCACCAAGAGGAACCACATAGATGAGCAAGAGAAGGGGCCAAGGATGGATCCTTGGGGTATGTACCCTGCAGATGACTGGGTGGAAGTGCAAAGAAAAGCCTTTTGTAGAAATGTACTGCTGGTGGTTCGTGAGGTAGGACTCGAACCAAGTGCCTGCGATCCCACTGAGGTGGATGATGGAGGAAAGGCGGTGGAGGAGGATGGCGTGATCGACTGTGTCGAATGCAGCGGAGAGGTCCAGGAGGACAAGGAGGCAGATGGAGCCCTGGTCACAGACAGAGAGGATATTGTTTGTGACTTTTACGAGTGCCGTCTCTGTATTGTGGGCAGACAGGGCAGAAATCGGACTGGAGGGGTTGGAGTAGGGTGTGGAGGGAGAGGTGTGCGCGAAGTTGGTTGGCAACAACAAGTTCCAGAGCTTTGACAAGGAAGGGCAGAGTTGAGATAGGGCGGGAGTGACCAAGGTTGGAGGGATCGAGGGTAGGTTTTTTAAGGAGGGGGGTGATGATAGCGGTTTTGAGGGCAAGTGGGACTGATCCTGAGGAGAGAGACTAGTTAATAGTGTCTGCCAATAGTGAGCAGACGAGGGGGAGCTGGGTGATCAGCAGTTGGGTGGGGAGGGGGTCAAGGCAGCAGGTGGTGGGTTTCATTGTGGTGATGGTGGATGAGAGGAAGGAAGGAGAGATGGGGGCAAATGAATGTAGGATGGATGCCATGGTAGGAGCTGAGGGTGGGGTGGGTGAGGGAGATGGAATAGGGGTGGTGGTAGGCAGAGGGATGAAGCTGCCAGACGGATGTTGTCAATTTTAGAGGTAAGGAAGTCCATGACCTCTTCACACTTGGTATTAGATGTGATGATTGAGGGGCTTGAGGTGGCACATGGAGGAGGTGGTGGGCGGTGGAGAATAGGATTTTGGAGTTATTGTTGATATAACTTGTTCTTCTATCTTGTTGTTGTTGTTGTTGCAGTTTTTGCTTGTGACAGGGAGGTATGAAGATCCCTGAGCTACAACAACAATAACAAGAAGATTACATTTGTATAGCGCCTTTCACATCAGGAGGACATCCCAAGGCGCTGGACAGAGTACAGCATTTCAGACCCGAGCTGGGGTGGTGGGGGGAAGGGAGGGGAGGGGAAGGGTGTTGGCCGATGGCATGGTTAAAGAGAAGGGTCTTGAGGTGGGACTTGAAGGAGGCTAAGAAGGGGGCGAGGCGGAGTGACTGGGGATGGAATTCCAGAGGTTGGGGGCAGAGTGGCTGAAGGCTCTCCCGCCAATGGTGGGGCAGGTGGGTCGGGGGACGTGGAGCAGCCGGAGCCGACTGAGCGGAGAGAGCGGGCGGGTTGGTAGGGGGTTAGGAGGTCACAGCTGGTGGTGAACTGTGTGGCTGGTTTTTCTCCCACCTGCGCTCGAGCAACTGGGTTTGGGATTTTAGGGAGCGGAGATGGCTGTTGTACCAGGGGAGTGGGTGGATTTGGAGACGGTCCTGGATTTCAGGGGGATGAGGGAGTTGAACGTGGAGGAGAGGCAATCATGGAGCAGCTGGATGGCTGCTTCAGGGTCGCTGTGGTGGAAGGCCAGAGGGTTAAGAGGTCTGAGGATGAGAGGGCCTTTGTGAGGGTCTTGGGGGGAAGCCTATTCCATGGGTGGAAAAGTACGGTTGAGGGCTTGATGGAGAGAGGGATGCGGGAGGAGAGGTAGATGAGGAAGTGTCCGAGATGGCCTTGTCTGTGACCCACAGGTCAGAAATGTCAAGGCCATGTGTGATGACGAGGTCGAGGGGGTGGGCATGGTTGTGGGACGGTGAGTTGATGTGGAGGGTGAGATTTAGGGAGGAGAGGAGGGCAGTGAAATCTGAGGATGTGGTGCAAGGGGAGTTTAGGTGGAGGTTCAAGTCGCCCATTGTGAGCAAAACACCCTAGCTCCTTCCTCTCCAATATCTCTGCTCTCCTCTCCTCCCTGTCCCTCTGTTCAGAACACTTGCCCTTTCTGATGAGGGCCAGAAGGCGGCCATCATCTCCCAAGCTAACCGAGGGAGGCGAATGCTACGGAGTTGGGGTGGCTGTTCTGGAACAACCAACCCCAGGAGCCACGATGGGCCTGTCGGAGGATGCCCAGTCTGAAGTAGAGGTAGGTAATGGTGGGATCCAGGAGAGAGAGAAGGCGGGGAGGACGGTGGGAGAGAAGGACAGAGTAGGAGTAGCGGGTAGAGGTGCGTAGAAGGAGAAGCATTTCCAGAGGGAGCGGCTCGGGTCGGCAGCGGAAACGCGCTTGTTTGTTGTCAGAGGTGCTGCCTTCGGAGACACCTATTCGAGTGGACATTAAAGACATGGAACATTGGGAAAGGTTCTGCTAAAACAATCAGCATTTCCTTGACTTTTCTGTTCTAAGAATCCTTCGAGTGTGAATGAGTCTGTGATGTACCAACTCAGCCGCTGGGAAACCAAAACACAAAACAACCAACAGAAAACAGACAACAACCTTTGGCAGGGTTTCCAGAGGGACTCTCCAACTCTAATCTCCTCCCGACGTGAAAGGCGCTATACAAATGTAATCTTTTTGTTGTTGTGATCTGTAATGTTTTCTTATTGTAATATAACAATTTCGCGAAAGCAATGTTATTTTCTGAGGAACAACTCATCCGGATTTGTATACAGTTGACCGTTTGGAGAGTAGGATTTTGAACATTGTGGTGAAACGTTTCTGACAATCTGTGTTACCTTAACAGTAACGCCATGAAATATGTCGCCCAGTTCCACAAAGTTGCTGAACTGCGCACTTGAGACTCAGAATGTACTGAAGTCGCAAACCGTGATTTTGTACGACGGTATTTCGATTTGAATTGAAAGCTGTTCTCTGGAATTGTTGACCTCCTCAATACACAGCCGTGTTGCTGACCAACAGCCGGAGCGCAGGGTGACGGCCCCACAAGGGTCTGCGTGGGTGGGGGGTCTCACTTTGCCCATCAAGTGGGCAGATCCGTTAATAATAATTCTTGCATTGGATATAGCGCTTTTCACGTCTTCTCAACGTCCCAAAGCGCTTCACAGAATAGATTGTGAAGTGAGTTGACTGTGTATTTGTTGGGGAACGCAGTGGCCAATTGCACAGAGCAGTGTCTGTCCCACAGACAGTCGTGGACTGAAAATGAACAATTTATTATTTTTTAACAATTGAAGGGATTATTACTCCCAGAAAAATGGGCCCCGGAAGTAATAAACCCTTTCAGGTTTCCCTTTGAGCCTCCCTCCCAGGGATCAGGCCAACAGTTTCAAGAATCAAATCACACACAGTCACTACACTTCACAGTGACTCACAACAGTCACTACACTTCACAGTGCAGGGCTTTGCCCCCCGGGGGCCGCAGGTCCGCCCGGAACCTTTGTGTGGCGCTGTGCGGGGCCGCGGACCGGAAGCTGCAGCTCTGGAGCGGACCGGAAGCAGAAGCCCAGTGTGAGGCGCCATGGAGACCATCCTGGAGCAGCAGCGCCGCTACCATGAGGAGGAGGAGCGGCTCCTCGACGTGATGGTCAGAGAGATGATGGTCAAGAAATCCACGGTAACGTGTTCAGCCCCGGGGGGGGGGGGGAGAGAGAGGGAGAGGGGGAGTGAGAGAGGGAGAGGGGGAGTGAGAGAGGGAGAGGGGGGGGGAGAGAGAAGGGGGAGGAGGAGGGGGAGAGAGAGGGAGAGAGAGGGGGGGGGAGAGAGAGGGGAGTGAGAGAGAGAGGGGGGGAGTGAGAGAGAGGGGGGAGAGAGGGGGGGAGAGAGAGGGGGGGAGAGTGAGAGAGAGAGGGGGAGAGAGAGAGGGAGGGGGAGAGAGAGGAGAGAGAGGGGGGAGAAGAGGGGGAGAGAGAGAGGGGGGGGAGTGAGAGAGGGGGGGAGAGAGGGGGGGGGAGAGAGAGAGAGGGGGAGTGAGAGAGAGGGGGAGTGAGAGAGAGAGAGGGGGAGTGAGAGAGAGGGGGGGAGAGAGAGGGGGAGTGAGAGAGAGAGAGGGGGGGTGAGAGAGGGGGGAGTGAGAGAGAGGGGGGAGTGAGAGAGAGGGGGAGTGAGAGAGAGAGAGAGGGGAGTGAGAGAGAGAGAGAGAGAGAGAGAGAGGGGGAGAGAGAGAGGGAGGGAGTGAGAGAGAGAGAGAGAGAGGGAGAGAGAGAGGGAGGGGGAGTGAGAGAGAGAGAGGGGGGGGTGAGAGAGAGGGAGTGAGAGAGAGAGGGGGGGGGAGAGAGAGAGAGGGAGGGGGAGTGAGAGAGAGGGGAGGAGAGAGAGAGAGGGAGAGAGAGGGTGAGAGGGAGGGGGGGAGTGAGAGAGAGAGAGAGAGAGGGGGGGGAGTGAGAGAGAGGGAGTGAGAGAGAGAGAGGGGGGGGAGTGAGAGAGAGGGGGAGTGAGAGAGAGGGGGAGTGAGAGAGAGAGAGGAGAGGGGGGGGGAGTGAGAGAGAGAGAGAGGGGGGGAGTGAGAGAGAGGGGGAGTGAGAGAGAGAGGGGAGGGGGAGAGAGGGGGGAGTGAGACAGAGAGGGAGAGAGAGAGGGAGGGAGTGACACAGAGAGGGAGAGAGAGAGGGGGAGTGAGAGAGAGAGAGAGAGAGAGAGAGAGAGGGGGGGAGTGAGAGAGAGGGGGGAGAGAGAGAGGGAGTGAGAGAGAGAGAGGGGGGGAGTGAGAGAGAGAGAGAGAGAGGGAGGGGGAGTGAGAGAGAGAGAGAGAGAGAGAGGGGGGGGGAGTGAGAGAGAGAGAGAGGGGAGAGAGAGAGGGAGGGGCAGTGAGAGAGAGAGGGGGGGAGTGAGAGAGGGGGGGAGTGAGAGAGGGAGTGAGAGAGAGAGAGAGAGGGGGAGAGTGAGAGAGAAGGGGAGAGAGAGGGGGGGGAGAGAGGGGGAGTGAGAGAGAGAGAGAGAGGGGGGGAGTGAGAGAGAGAGAGATAGAGGGTGAGAGAGAGGGGGGAGTGAGAGAGAGAGAGAGAGAGAGGGGGGAGTGAGAGAGAGGGGGAGTGAGAGAGAGGGGGAGTGAGAGAGAAAGAGGGAGTGAGAGGGGGGGAGAGTGAGAGAGAGAGCGTGGGAGAGTGAGGGGGAGTGAGTGAGAAGGGGAGGGAGTGAGAGAGGGGGAGGGAGAGGGAGAGAGGGGGGAAAGAGAGAAGGGGGGAGTGAGAGAGACAGATCGAGCGAGACAGAGATCAAGTGAGAGAGAGAGAGGGGGGGAGAGAGAGAGAGGGAGTGAGAGAGGGTGTGGAGGGCGCATGTGCGCGAGGGGGTGGAGGGCGTGCGAGGGGGGAAGACAAGGGCAGGTGTGTGCGAGACAGTGCGTGAGAGAGAGTGACAGAACTTGTGTGAGAGAGCGTGAGAGAGTTTATGAGTGTGCTCGCTGTGCTTTGGCTGGTTTGATGTGGACGATCAGTAATGCATTTAAATTACCTATTCTCAACAACAGCAACAACTTCTATTTATATAGCATCCCTCACACAGGATAGCGCCTCACAGCGTTGCAGTCTCCTCCCCACTTCTCTTGATGGCAGGGACTCGGGCTGGGTTACAGACTCGGCAGCAGCACCCCCCCCACCCCTTTGACCGCTCTCCATACAGGAGTACACAGTGAAGGTCTTGAGTGTTTTGACTGTGGACAGGTTCACAGCAAACCCCAGTCCGTGTTCACCTCAAGTCCGTTCATACAATTTCCAGCAGTTTAACCTGTTCTTCTCAAACCTTGAGACCCTCAGGCAACGTGTGGCAACCCTTCCACTATCCTGATGACTGGATCTGAATAAGAAGTTGCTGAATCTACAAATTCTTAGGAGCAAAATCTGTTTTACCTCATCTGTTTACCAGTTTACCTCATCTGTTTACCAGTAAACTGCCACAGACTCCCACACGACTCAAATCTACAAGTCTTCCACCCACCCGCTCCCTACTCCACCTCGAAACATCCTGCAGTATTTTCCCCCCCCCCCCATTCTGGATGGAACGTAAACAGCACATGTTTAAATGAGCAAAACTAGCCTTTTTATTGCCCTAACTCACACTGAGCTGCTGAACTGAAATGAACACAAGCCTCTGTAAACCCAGGTAAAGGGTAAAAGGTGATTGTGATAAATCAAGTAGTTGTAATAAGAGGAAGGGTCTGGATTTAGATCACAAACCATCACAATGACCGGCTTTCTCTACCTTTATTATAAAATTAATACCTTCATTTTAAAATGTTCTTTTTCAGCTCCGAGACCAAATCAACTCCGACCACCGTGCCAGAGCAGTGCTTGATGTGAGTTTAACATGTGACCAAACATGTCAGGATTGTGTGAGGATGACCAGTACAGTACAGATTCCTGTAAACTCACTGGAGTTGAGTTTTTCCTACAAATACCCGCACGAGCTAATTTTAAAACAAGTTGAAGTTAAGATCAAGAATTGTTAAAATCTCCAAGCTGTTCGTTGTTCACCTTTTTGCCAATTTTAAATTGTGATTTAATTTCCCCTCTTTCCCAGAGATATATGGAAGTGGCTGGAAATCTTCGAGACTTGTATGAAGATAAAGATAGGTATATAGAGATTCCAAAGTCTGTTTCGATATTGTTTTCTTTACTCTCCTTTTTACAATGCTTCTTGCACAATAAAGACTGATTCCGGACCTGGTCACTTTCCTCTCCACCCACACTCCAACCCAGGCTGAGGGTCACTGCTGTATTGGCACTGAAGTGAAATCTATATGGTCAGTTTTCCATAATTACAAAATCACAAGATTGGTTGAAGAAGACCCTTTGGCCTTTCTGATCTCATTCCTCCACAACATCCACCCTACTGTTCCCCCATCACACCATCGAGCTGTTTTTTAAATGAGTGTCCTAACCTCAACCACTCTTACTTGTTTGTTAATTACTGGATCTCTTTCAGCTTCCCCATTGGCAAGTTCAGTTCCAACCTTTGCATTTGATATTTGATATAGCACCTTGTCACATATTTGAGACGTCTCAAAGAGCTTCACAGAATATACTGTAAAGTGAATTGACTATGTTTTGTTGGCGAAACACGGCAGCCAATTGGCACAGTTACCAATTGGCCCACAAACAGTTACGGATTGAATGATCAAATTATCCATGCAGATGGAGGGGGAGATCCAGCAGGGTAGGGAGAAGGGGGATAACCGGAAATGCAGTCAAAGAGGTAGATCTTTAGAAGAGGTTTGAAAGCAGAACGGTTTTAGGAGAAAGCTCCAGAGAGTTTTGGTGGTGAGGTTGGCAAGGCAACTGAAAGTTTGCCCACCATAGGTAGGATGGGGAACAGGAGACATGCAGCAGACCTTTGAATACTTGTCTGTTACACTTCATGCCCAGCAACTCCCTACCTCTCCAACCTTCTTACACCCTACTCTACCAGCTCTCTTTGCTCAACAGCCTCCAGCCTCGTGCATGTCCCTTGCCCCTCTGCTCCACCATTGGCAGCCTTGCTTTCAGCTACTACACCCTGAAACGTGGAACTCTCTACCTCAGTCTCTCCACCCTGCCTCCTTCTTGCCTCCTTACCGACTAATTTCAAATTGTACCTGAAGAATTTCCTCTTCGACTGTACCTACGACCTCCACCCTCAGCATTAAGCTCCGCCACTGCCAAGCGCTCTTGAGAATGCCACACTGAAGGGCGTAATATAAATGCAAGTTGTTGGATGTCTTTCTTTCCCACAGTATGAGGAAGGATGAGTTAAATGCCATTTCAGGACCAAATGAGTTTGGTGAATTCTACAATCGATTGAAACTGATTAAAGAGTTTCACCGCAAACACCCAAATGAGGTGAGTATCCTGCAGTCACAGGAGTAGCACCAGGCATAGCACACCACATATACCCACGTTTCCAGTTGTCTAAGCACAGACAGAGACTGGAGTAGCTTGAAATATACTGCCATTAGCTTTTAACAAAGAAAACCCAGAAATGTTAATGAGCTAAACTAAATATCTCTAATCTAAAAGCTTGTAAAATAAATTTAGATTTTAGCTCAAGTTTGTGATTGACTTTTACTTGTGTTTTTCTATGCTCCAGATCAGTGTGCCTATGTCGGTGGAGTTTGAGGAGCTAATGAAATCCAGGGACAGCCCCAGTGAGGAGGCACTCAGTAAGTTAGTTTTTCAGGAATGTTTCTGTCTCTTACTCCATTTCCACACTGTGTTCCACATTGAGCTAGTTCAAGGCTAGCAATGCTGATAGCAGCTTGCTCTGCACAGTATAAGCACAATCTGTTAACGAATATTAACGATATGTCTCCTTAGATCTTGTGGAGTTCACGGATGAGGAAGGTTATGGCCGTTACCTTGATCTTCATGACTGTTATCTGAAGTACATCAACCTGAAAGGTTCAGAAGTAAGTCCGCAGATATGGGAGTTTCAGTGAGGCAGAGCTGGATGAGGTAGGTTGGGGGTGGGGGGCGGAACCAGGTGGAGGGGAATGGAGTCAGGTGGAGTGGGGGTGGAAGGAGGTGGAGCAGGGTGGAGCCAGGTGGAGCACATTGTTGGTCTGTGTGCTGTGCTAAAGACGCGATTCCCCACAAGGCCAGTTTCCATGGTCGGTCAGAGACATAGTCTGAAAACACACAGGAAACCTTGTTTTAGCTGGTTCCAGCTTCAAAATAAAAGCCCCCGATGTGATCTTTGAGTGACATCAAGTGACATTTTGTTTCCCACAGAAAAGTGACTATATCACCTACTTGTCCACATTTGATCAACTTTTTGATATTTCAAAAGATAGAAAAAATGCAGAATATAAGCGGTAAGTAATTATTTTTTCATGTACGTGGTATTCTGGTTCACATGGACTTTGAAGACTGTATACCTCCTTGATACCGTCGGCCTTCCCGTACTGTTATAGAAGGCAAGAAATATATTTCAGTGAAGCTTTGATGATTTTAACTAGTGGAATGTTAATGAATTAAAAGGTTGGTTACCAGGAATAGTAAGTATTCATCCGAGATCCACACTTTCCACCAGTGATCAATGCATAGATGTCAGGAGCAGGAATCCCCGTTGGGGTTCTACGTCCTCCCAAGCCAATTACACCCTCACTGTTGTCCTTAATAGGAAGAAGAAAATAAGTAGCATTTATCAGATGTCAGGTTATGCGCCTACACTACCCATCTTACCATTTGTTTTAATATGTGATTGAACCATATACAAACTCCAACCTGCAGATTGTTTTCTCTCTGTTGTGGGAAACTGGAGGCACCAGAAGATTTTGCAAACAAGAATCTGTGAACAAATCTATTGTGTTTCAATGGTTTGATTGAGAGACAACCTTTGGAAGGTTATAATAGTCACATTTTAGGTTCATTGGGTATGACCTGCGTCTCTGGTTGGCTCTGGTGCTCAGTGACTGTTAATGCTCCAAGACAATCTTGGAAGCCAAGGACAACCCCAGGTTCCTCTTCTGCATCACCAACCGGCTCCCCCGCCCACCCTCTCACACCTCGCCCAGCCTCACCTCCAACGCCAACTGTGAGGCGATGCTGGACTTCCTCGAAAACAAAGTCAAGGGGATAAGTTTAGCTGCCTTTCCGTCTACTACCCCCTCCCCATTTTTCCTTCACCCACCGACCCCTACCCATCCCTCCCTCCACACCTTCGAAACTGTCTCCCACTCCTCTCACCACCACTATAACCCACATGAAACCGATCACCTGCTCCCTCGACCCCATCCCTACCCCTCTCTTTACCTCCCAGCTCCACCTACTTGCCCCTCTACTCAGACATGATAAACCTTTCCCTGTTTACTGGCACCATCCCCACCCCATTAAAAAGGACCGTCATTACTCCTATCCTTTAAAAAAAAGCCTCCTTGGACCCATTCCTGCTCTCAAACTACCGTCCCATCTCCAACCTCCTTTCTCCAACCTCTGCAACCAGGGCTCCCTCTACCTCCTCATCCTCCTTGACCTCTGCTGCCTTCAATACCGTTGACCACTCTATCCTCATCCACTGCCTCTCGTCTCTACCTTCATGGTTCTGTTCTTGAATGGTTCAGATTGTACCTCTCACACAGTCTCCACTTCATCTACACAAACGTTTCTTCTCTATCCCCTGGACCATCTTGTGCTGCGTTGCTCGGGGCTCTGTCCATGGTCCCCACCTCTCAATATCTATATACTCCCTCTTGATGTCATCATCCGCAGACATGGGGTCAACTTCAACGTGTATGCGGATGACACCCAAAGGTGTGTCTGCCTCCACCCTTGACTCCAGGACCCACTGCTGTCCTGACAGAATGTCTGTCAGACATCAAGTCCTGGATGAGAGCGAACTTTCTTCAGTTGAACGTCCACAAGACCGAGGCTCCTGATTGGCTCCTGTCAGCGCCTCCTCACCTGAGGCGCTGAGAGCATCACCATCCATGGGGCTCACTCCACCTCACTGAGCCGGGCAGGAACCTTGGGGTCTTGATTGACCCTCAACTATCCTTTCTACTCCACCTCTGTGCCATGACCCGCTCTGCCTTCCCCACCTCCGCAACATCTGCGCCATGACCCGCTCGCCTTCCCCCCACCTCCGCAGCGTTGACTGGCTCCGTCACTATCTCACACCCCAGGCCACCGAAACCCTCATACAACAACAACAACAACAAGATTGCATTTATAGAGCGCCTTTCATGTCGGGAGGACGTCCCAAGGCGCTGGACAGTTGGGTCAGGACCTGAGCAGGGGGGAAATGGTCAGGGTGAGGGGAGGGAAGGGAGGGAGCGAGGAGGGGGTAGAGAGTCGAGAGGGGAGCTGAATGTACAGTCGAAGAGAAAGGTCTTGAGACCGGCCTTGAAGGAGGAAAGGGAGGAAGCAAGGCGAAGGCACTGGGGGATGGAGTTCATACACTCTTTCATTACATCGAGGCTTGGGTATGCAAACTCACTGCTTATCGGCCTCCGCAATGCCTCCCTCCACAGGCAGATCATCCAGAACTCTGCAGCCTCTGTCCTCTCCCGCACAAAACTCCGTGACCCTATCACCCTGACTCCCACTGGATTCCTATCACACAGAGGATATAGTTCAAGATCCTGGCTCCTTTACCATCCTGCCTGCTCCTCCACTCAGCGGGCTCTGGCCTGCTTTATGTCCCTCGCCTGCCCCATCATTGGCAGATGGGCCTTCGGCCACTCTGCCCCCACCCTCTGGAACTCCATCCCGCAGTCCCTCCGCCTTGCCCCCTCCCTCGCCACCTTCAAGACCCATTTCAAGACCCTTCTCTTCGACCGTGCTTTCGATCACCTGCTTCCCTCCCTGCCCTCCACCCTCCCCAATCCCGACCCTCAGCTCAGGTCCGAAACTGACTGTCCAGCGCCTTGGGACATCCTCCCAAAGTGAAAGGTGCTATACACATGTAAGGTGGTGGTTGTTGTACCTGGATCTGAAACCGCAAAGTTTAAAAATCCATTCAAGATCTCCACAATGTACTGTGTCCAGGTACCTGGAGATGCTACTGGACTACCTGCAGGATTACACCGACCGAGTAAAACCTTTACAGGATCAGAATGAGCTTTTCGGCAAAATACAAATCGACTTTGAAAAAAAATGGGATAATGGGAACTTCCCTGGCTGGCCGGTACGTGTCGTCTGTTTGATTGTAATTTACACATCAACTTAATGAAAGATTTCTATGAAACTAATTGTGGAGTCCTGTAGCTTAGTGGTTAGAACCACGCAAGCGGGAAGTCCTGCAGGGTGAAATGTTGGGCAAGATTCCTTGCTCCACGCACCTCTGTTTACTTAGCAGTAAGTAGTAACCTGGTTGTTGATTGAAGGATTGCTTTTCTAGGGTTAAGAATCCCTTAAAAAATAATATTAATTTGGTCACTTAATCGACAACTGTTTTTTGGGACACTGCTGTGCGCATTTGGCTATCGCATTTAGTCCACAAAATATACAGTCAATTCACTTTGCAGTATATTCTGTGAAGCGCTTTTGAGACGTCTAGAAGATGTGATAAGGCGCTATATCAAATGCAAAGATTATTATTGTTGTGAGCTTTCAGCAACTAGAATTCAGCATCTAGCACTGTGAAGCATTTTAAGATGACCCCCTGATGTGAAATGCGCTGTATAACTGTAAATTGTATTGTATCCGTATTCAATTCTGCTTTCACTTCTCTTGGTGTCTATCCGAAGTATCGGTGTATTAAAATATTCCTGGAGGCCTGTGCGGCAAATGTATGATATAGAATTGTAAAATATAGCACACAAGGAGGCCATTCAGCCCATCGTGCCTGTGCCAGCTCTTTGGAAGACCTACCCAATCAGTCCCCCGCTTTTTCCCCCATATCCTTGCAAATTTTTCCAAAATAGTTTGGCTTTTCAAGTTAAAACCAGTCTCTGTTGTATTCATTGTTTAATTAAGCTTTCGGCTTCTTTTGCTTGTTTGTGGTAATGTAGTCAGTTGTATTTGTCCTCTTTAGACTATTCTGTAGAATCTCCAGCACTGAAAGAGGCCATTCAGACCAGCCAGTCTGTACCGGTGTTTGTACTCCATTCCAACCTCCGCCTGTCTTAATTCACTCTCTCTCACCTCCCCCTTAGCCCTTCCCTCTATTCCCTTTTCCCAATCTATCAACTCAATGCAGTGTGCACTGTTGCATTAATGAGTGATTGATGAGATCAGCCTCACCTTTGTTCAGTTGTCTGTTAAAACACAGATGGTTGTATTGTTTTCAGTGACGGGATATAATTGTGTTTTCTTCTGACAGAAAGAGACCAGCAGTGCCTTGACTCATGCAGGAGCTCACCTGGATTTATCAGCCTTTTCCTCCTGGGAAGTGAGTTCCCCTTTCACCTGCCTGTCGTTGCCGGAGCTTATTCCTCTATAATTTGGGATATTTCAAACTAATAGAGGATAATCTTGATTTGACTGAATTAACTGTTTCACACTAGAAAGAGGCTCAGATATGTAGAATGTTTCCACAAATCCAGATATTTGCCTTTTATCTGTAGTAATTGAACATTTCCAACTTCATCTATTTTCAAGTTATTTGTTCCTATTGATTATGACCAATCTTATCAACTACAACCTTGTTACACTGAGGTAGAGATGCATTATAAGACTGTCTACGACCTCTCAAACAGTTTTAGAAATTGTAACTGAGCAGATAATTGTGTTAATACCTTACTACTGAGCCAGGCTGACGCACATTATTTATGTGCATCAGCCTGGCTCAATAGTAGGAAGCACTCTCGCCTCCGAGACAGAAGGTTGTAGGTTCAAGATCCAAATCAGGATATAGAATCACATAGTCTAAACTGACACTCCATTGCATTGTTATAGAACCATAGAATTATACAGCACGGAAGGAGGCCATTCAGCCCATCGTGTCTGTGTCGGCTCTTTAAAAAGAGCTTTTCCAAATCAATCCGCTCTCTCCCCATAGCTCTGTAAACTTGTCTTCCCCAAATAATGATCAATTTCTCTCTTAAACGTTGTTATCAAATCAGCTTCCACCGCCCTTTCAGGCAATGCCTTCCAGATCCCAACAACTTGCTGTGTGAAAACATTTCTCCTCACCTCCCCTCTGTTTCTTTTTACAACTATTCTAAATCGGTGTCCTCGGGTCACCGACCCACCCGCCAGTGGGAATGGTTTCTCCTGTTCACCCTATCGAATCCCCTCATAATTTTGAAAACTTCTATTAAGTCTCCTCTTAATCTTCTCTGCTCCAAGGAGAATAATCCTAGTTTCTCTACCTCTCCTGATAACTGAAGTGTAAAGGTTCATCATAACTTCCTGACTTGTGTACTCTGTGCCCCTATTTATAAAGCCCAGTATCCCGGATGCTTTTTTTAACAGCTTTATCTCCCTGTCCTGCCACCTTCAAAGATTTATTTACATGAACCCCAGGTCTCTGTTCCTTCACCCCCTTTAAGATTGTACCATCAGCTTATATGGTTGGAGGTGCTGTCCTTAGAATGAGATATTAACACTGAGACCCATCTGCATGTTTAGAATACATTAGAATATACAGCACAGAAACAGACCATTCGGCCCAACTGGTCTATACCGGTGTTTATGCTCCACATGAGCCTCCTCCTGCCCTTCCTCAACTAAGTCTTCAAGCATCACCTTCTGTTCCTTTCTCCCTCATGTACCTGTCTAGCTTTCCCTTAAATACATCCGTTAGATGGATGTTAAAGATTTCTTGGCACAGTTCAAAGAGAGAAGGAAGTTTCTTCTGGTGTCCTGGCCAACAATTCTCCAAATAAAAATTGGTAACTTATTTCATGACTTTGTGGGATGTTGCTGTGCGCAAATTGGCTGCTGCGTTTGCCCACAAAACACACTGATGTGCAGTGACTCATGCATTATTATTATTTATTATTCTGTTGATTGTTTCTCTCTTTTCCTCTTCATTCTCTTCTCCAATTTCCCCCCAATTTTCAATGCACTTCAGCTATTATTACCTAACCAACTGGGGAGTGCTGCTGTGGAGCTTTGCTTCATGTGTGCAGAAATATTGGTGGGGGAGGGGAAGGATAAACCAGGCTTGCTATGGTGACCATTTCCTGGCAATCATACTTCAGACAGCTGTTCCACGCTCCCACTTTATTTATGGAAGTTGTGTATTTCGTAAATCAGTTCAAAAATCAAACTCTTTAACAAGTATTCATTTCCTGTGGTAGGAATTGGCTTCCCTGGGCTTGGACAGATTGAAGTCCGCTCTGATGGCTTTGGGGCTGAAATGTGGAGGGTAAGCACTTGAGTCTTTTCCAGTGTTCAGTTTATTCAAGAAAACACTTTGACCAGAAAAAATATTCCAGCTTTACAGAGATATAGTCTGAATGTAAAATCTATATCAAAAGCTTTAGTTTTATATCAAGGTTGGGTTTTGTCCTTTCAGACATCTCAAAATAGCCTGTTAAGTAATGCCTTTACAATCACCCAGAACCACTCCTGAACTAAAGTAGTTTTAAAGTGTGGACTGGCACACTTTAAAATTTTTGAAAGTGCTTTGTTGTATGATACATAGAAAATAACACGCAAGAAGATTTGTTGTATTAATATTGGCAGAGCATATGATACAAACACTGGGATTGCTGGTTTAATTGACATTTCATGGGTTAAATGTTCATTATTGTGTGTCTGCTGAACAAGAAAGACTTGTAACTATTGATTTTCTCTTTCAGGACTTTGGAAGAAAGAGCGCAAAGACTGTTCAGCACCAAGGGGAAGGCTTTGGAGTCACTGGACCCTTCGTTGTTTGCAAAATCTAAATCCAGAGGCACTAAAAAGTTGGTGGATGGTCGGGTTGGCCAATAGATGCATCTTGAAGTTCCTCTAGCTGAGTTTTTTTTCAATTGTTTCCATCAGTATAATCACTGCCTTTTCCTTTGACGTAGGGATTCGGAACGTAACAAAGAGATTGCTTTTCTTGAAGCTCAAGTGTATGAATATATTGAAATCCTTGGGGTGAGTGTTTCTGAACATTCTGGCTAATCCCTACCCCGCGAGAGAGACCCTTCACTCGAGTTACAGTGTTGCTGGTTTTTGCGTTTGCACTAAGCAATTCACTGCCGTACACACTGAGGCAGGAACATTTGGCATCTGAGTATTCTAAAGAAAATAGCTCAGTGAAAGACGAGTGCTTCATCCTTTTCTCTCCTTTCCTCTCCCCCCACCCCCACTCAGTGCCATTACTGCCCTCCACCCTCCCAGCTTGAGGAAGATTGGCCAGAGTTATATTCTTGCTGTTCGGTAACAGGTCTCCATGAGCCATGCTACCCACTGCCGGGAGCATCTTCGTAGCAAATGCTGATACTGTGAAGTGCAGCAACTCTGAGGAGTATCGCTGTTAGGTGCCCTAGTGTTTGAGTCAATGCCTTAGAGGGAGAGGATAATGTAGAAAATGGAGGAATCTAGGGAATAATGAAATGCTAATTAAAGTTCAGTTTGAACTAGAAAGGTTATTATTATGGATCATAAATGGTTTGGGTGGAAGGGAATGGGCACTGGGTGTGTGATAATAATAGTATCCTTGCATTTGATATAATGCCTTATCACATCTTCGAGACGTCTCAAAGCGCTTCACAGAATATACTGTAAAGTGAAATGACTGTATGCTTTGTAGGCGAAACGCAGCAGCCAATTGGCACTGCAGCGTCCCACAAACAGTTGTGGATTAAGTGACCAAATTATTATTATTTTTCTTTTTGGAAGGAATTATTACCCCCGGAAAAGCGATCCGCCAATTGACTAACAATCGGGATCCTATTTACTGCTAGGTAAACAGAGGCATGTGGAGTAAGGAAACTTGCCCAACATTTCGTCCTACTGGGAATTGAACCCAGGTCTCGCTTGCGAGGCGAGTGCTCTAACCACTGAGCTACAGGACTCAACGATTAAGGGAGGTTCCTCATTCCACAACTCCAGAAAGTCTGTGGTTCTTGCAAAAGCTGTTTTTACGAGTTTTTCCTATTTTGGAGTTAGTTTAACTAATTTAAAGCTACATAAATGTCTGAAATGATTCCACACTGAATTAAAATACAGTTTGAATTGTATTAGACGATTTGTCTAATCGCAGACCCTGTGAATCAACCTGTGGTTGTTTTTGTGCTTATTTTTGGTGCATCACCTGCCATCCTCTGGGAGATTAATTTATTGTGTTCAATCTGCTCTGCAGGAACAGCGGCAGCTCACCAGAGAGAACGTCCAACGCAAACAAGCTCGGACTGGGGAGGAGCGGGAGGAGGAGGATGAGGAGCACGTGAGTGAGAGTGAAAGTGAAGACGAGGAAAATGAGATCATCTACAATCCCAAGAATCTGCCACTGGGCTGGGACGGCAAGGTGAGAAGCCACAGGGCACTAAAGGGCCTTGTGTATATTAGCTCGTCTTTGATTAAATCAATAAAAATAACATATCGTGACTGTCAGCCCTATTGAATGCTGAAACTGAGAACCAGACTAAATTGTTAAATCATCCTTGTGCTTCATTCCAATTTACAAACCACTGTAAAGTGCATGTTACCCACAATATGACCAGACGTCTGTAGCAGGTATTTCACCACCGAGGTTTAGGTTTTGTCTGCAACTCACTTGGAGCAACAGCTACTGACCAGTAGGTGGCAGATTCTGTCACTTTGTAACTCAGTGGTAATCTCTGTTTGGTTTACTGAGTTTACAAACATTTCACTGCGTGCACATGCAGTGACAGAGCAAGACTACATTTCCCCCGATTCAATGTGTCTTGCCCCCCCCCCCCCCACTAACAGACCTTATTAACCTCTTCCTGTCCACTGGCACCGTACCCATCCCCCTAAAGACAACCGTCATCACCTCTACCCTCAAAAAACCTTCCCTTGACCCATCTCTGCTCCAACTACTGGCCCATCTCAAACCTTCCTTTTCTATCAAAGGTCATGGAACGAGTTGTCTCTACCCAGCTTCGCTCTTTCCTCACCCAGCACTCCCTCCATGAATCCCTTCAATCTGGGTTTCATGCTGCCCACAGCACAGAGACAGCCCTGATCAAGGTGACAAATGGCATTTTGTCCACCTGCAACCAAGGCTCTCTCTGCCTCATCATCCTTCTCGACTGCTCTCGATACTATTGACCACACTATTCGTCTCCACCGTCACTCACCTTCACTCAGTGGTTCTGATCTTGCCTGGTTCTAATCCCATTGTGTGCACTTTGTGGCCACCAACGGCTTCTCCTCTAGCCCCCGCACTGTCACGTGTGGCGTCCCTCAGGGCTCTGTCCTCGGGCCCCTCCTCTTCAATCTATACATGCTCCCACTCGGCGATGTCATCTGCAGGCATGGGGTCAATTTCCACATATATGCGGATGACATCCAGCTCTATCTCGCTGCCTCCACCCTTGACTCCAGAACCATTGATGTCCTGGCTAATTGTTTGTCTGACCTGAAATCCTGGCGAGAGCAACTTACTCCAGCTCAATGTTGGCAAGACAGAGGCCCTCCTACTTGGCTCCTGGCAGCGCCCCCTCACTTCAGCCGCTGACACTATCACCATTCATGGCTGCACTCTTCACCTCACCAGCCAATCCAAAACCTTGGTGTCCCTTTCAACCTCAGCTATCCTTCAAACCCCACATTTGTGCCGTGACCCGTTCCGCCTTTCCACACCTCCGCAGCATTGCCCACCTCCGCCACTGCCAGTCACCGCAGGCCGCCGAGACCCTGATCCAAGCTTTCATTCCGTCCCAGCTTGGCTACGCCAACTGCCTGCTCACTGGACTTCCCAACTCTCCCTCCACAAGCTGCAGCTCATTCAGAACTCTGCAGCTCATGTCCTTACCCGCACCAGCCTCTGGGAACCTATCAACCCTATTCTTGCCCGGCTTCACTGGTTCCCCATTCCTCAGAGAATTGAGTACAAAACCGTCATTCTTACCCTCAAGGCCTTCCATGGTCTTGCTCACCCCACCTCTCCGACCTCATAATCCCATATCAGCCTGTCCGCTCCCTCCCCTCGGCGAACATAGGCCTGCTTGCGATCCCCTACACTTCCCACTGCAACATTGGCAGTCGGGCATCATCATCTCTGCCCCCAAACTCTGGAAATTTATCCTGCAATCCCTCTGCCTCACTGCCTCTCTTGCCTCTTTCAACTCCTGTCTGAAGACTTCCTGTTTGACCGTACCTTCAACCATCCTCCCCCCCCCACCCCATTGTTTGCCCTCCTACCCTTCTGACCCCAACTCCCAGCTCAGGTCAAAAATCCTTGATTGTCCAGCGCCCTGGGACGTCTTTCCGACATGAAGGGCACTCTACAAGTGTAATTTGTTGTCTTCACCCGTTGCCGCTTGTGCACTTACCAGAAAGCGTTGGAATCACATTGATTGAATTGCCGATGGATCAAGACCATGTTTCCTGCAATTCAAAGCAAACTTATATTGTATCAGTTGCAGAAGTCAAGTAACCTTTTTTAAAACTTTTAAACAAGTGTTTTTTCCCCCTTTGCCATCCACCTGACCGCTCGCTCCCGGTCCCCGCGTGCGCACTATGGCTGCCGCTTTGACCCGAGCCCCCTCACCCCCTCCCTCCCTCCCCCCTCCTCTCTCCCCCCAAACCCTCCCCCCTCTGCATCTCTCCCGCTCTCTCCTCCTCTCTCTCCGTCCCTCTCGTCTTCTATCCCCACTTGACCCTCCCACAACCTCCCTCTGTTCCAGTCTGGGAATCCTCCGCCGGGCTCACCGCGGCACTCGGCGTTGGCTGTCCAGCAGCAGCCACACCGACTGCCCCATTCCCCACCACACTCGCCACCCACCCCGGACACAGACCCGGGGAGTCAACCTCTCCTCCCTCATCCCCATTCCCCCCACCCCTGCCTCACAACCTGGACCCCCCTCCCCTCCCACACACCCTTCTGTCAACCGCTCCCTCCACATCGGACTGCAAAATGTCCGCTCCCTCTGCAACAAGGCCCTGGTCATCAACGATCTCATCCTTGATGAGAACGTTGATATCATGGCCTTAACAGAAACCTGGCTCACCCCAGGCGACACCTTCCCCCTCACGGAGGCCACGCCACCCGGCTACACCTCCCACCACATCCCCCGCCCCAACCGCCGTGGCGGTGGTGTTGCCCTTATCTCAAGGACACCACTTGCCCTATCCCCTACTCCACTGGCTCTTTCCCCTCCTTTGAGCACCTCACCCTCTCCCACCCCTCATTCCTCTCCCTTAAAATCCTCCTCCTCTACCGGCCCCTAAAACCTCTCCCACCTTCATCTCTGACATTTCAACACTCCTCACATCTCTTTGCCTCTGCTCTGATCGCCTCATCATCCTGGGCGACTTTAACCTACACTTCACCCCCTCCTGCTCCATCTCCACAGACTTCTCTTCCCTGCTCTCCTCACTCAACCTCTCCTTACACATAAACTCCCCCACTCACAGTCACGGCCACCCACTCGATTTGGTGATCACCCGGGGCCTCAGTGTCTCGGATGTCACTATTACCGACAAGGCCATCTCTGACCACTACTTCATCTCCTTCACCACCTCCACCCCCCTCCCCACCTCCACCAGACCCACCACCATCTTCTACCGCCCTTGGAAGAAGTTACCCCCACAATCCCTAACCGATGCCTTGGAGTCCTCTGAACTCCTCTCCCTCTGGCCTTCAACCCTCACCGACCCCTCTTCTCCTCTCTCCCTCCTCCACAATACCCTCTCCTCCACACTCGATACTCTTGCCCCCATCACTTCCCGCACTGTCTCCTACTCCCGCTCCTCCCCCTGGTACACCACCCACCTCCGCTCACTGAAAAGCCAGGTGCGGGCTGCTGAACGCACCTGTGTCAAATCTGGCCTAACGGTCCACCGACAAATCTGGCTGGACCTCCTCAAAATTTACCGCTCCACTCTAGCCTCGGCCAAGTCGTCCTTCTACTCCAGGATAATCCTGGAGGCGAAGAACAACCCCAGGCTACTGTTTTCCACCACAACCCGACTCCTCCGTCCCCCCGCCACCCCGCGCAGGTCATCTCCTCCAACCTTCACTGCGAGGAGATGCTGGATTTCCTTGAATCCAAGATCAAGGGAATCCGCTCCGCGGTCACTTCCCCTCCAACTTCCACCCACCACCCACCCCTTCCCTCCCACACTCCGACTCCTACCCATCCTCCCCTACACACCTTCGTACCCGTTTCCCCACCCTCTGTCACTGAACTCATCCTATCCCTAAAACCAACCACCTGCTCCCTTGACCCCATCCCCACTCCACTCCTTATCTCCCAGCTCCACTTTCTTGCCCCACATATCACTGACATCATCAACCTGTCCCTCTCCTCTGGCTCTGTCCCCATTCCATTAAAAACTGCCATCATCACGCCCACCCTGAAAAAACCCTCCCTTGATGCGTCGCAGCTATCAAGCTACCGGCCCATCTCCAACCTCCCCTTTCTCTCCAAGGTCTTGGAAAGAGTTGTCGCCTCCCAACTGCGCTCTTTCCTTTCCACCCATTCTCTTTTCGAACCCCTTCAGTCAGGTTTCCGTGCTGCCCATAGCACAGAAACTGCCCTGGTCAAGGTCACCAATGATATCCTGACCATCTGTGACCAGGGCTCCCTCTGTCTCCTCGTCCTCCTCGACCTATCGGCAGCATTCGATACGGTCGACCACGCTATCCTACTCCACCGCTTGTCCTCCCACCTCAACCTTCAAGGCACTGTCCTTGAATGGTTTAGGTCGTACCTTTCTCACCGTCTTCACTTTGTCTCGACGAATGGCTTCTCCTCCACCCCCCGTACTGTCTCATGTGGTGTCCCTCAGGGCTCTGTCCTCGGTCCCCTCCTCTTCACCCTCTATATGCTCCCCCTTGGTGACATCATCCGCAGACATGGGTTAACTTCCACATGTATGCGGATGACACCCAACTCTACCTTTCCTCCTCTACTCTCAACTCCACGACCACCGATGTCCTGACAGCTGCCTGTCCGACATCGAGTCCTGGACGAGAGACAACTTTCTTCAGCTCAACGTGCGAAAAACCGAGGCCCTCCTGATTGGCTCACGTCAGCGCCTCCGCACCTCAGGCGCTGACACCATCAGCATCCAAGGCTGCACTCTCCACCTCTCAAAGCCAGTCAGGAACCTCGGCGTTTTGTTCGACCCTGAGCTGTCCTTTCTCCCTCACATCCGCACCACAACTGGCACCGCCTTCCATCACCTCCGGAACATCGCCAGACTACGGCACTACCTCACCCCTCACGCTGCTGAAACCCTGGTCCACGCCTTTGTCACCTCAAGGCTGGACTATGGGAACTCTCTCCTCGCCGGCCTTCCCGCCACCTCCCTCCACAAGCTGCAGGTCATTCAGAACTCTGCAGCTCGTGTACTGTCCCGCACCAGGCTTTGCGACCACATCACTCCCACCCTCGCTCGCCTCCACTGGCTCCCCATCCCCCAGAGGATTGATTTCAAGATCCTCATCCTCACCTACAAGGCCATTCACGGCCTTGCTCCCTCCTACCTCTCCAACCTACTATCCCCCTACCTACCTGCCCGTACCCTCCGTTCCTCTGGCTCCGGTCTGCTCCACGTCCCCCGCCCCAACCGCCCTACCATCGGTGGTCGGGCCTTCAGCCTCTCAGCCCCGAGGCTCTGGAACTCCATCCCCAGTGCCTTCGCCGCTTCCTCCCTTTCCTCCTTCAAGGCCGGTCTCAAAACCTTTCTCTTTGACCGAGCCTTCAGCTCCCCTCTCGACTCTCTACCCCCTCCTCGCTCCCTCCCTTCCCTCCCCTCACCCTGACCATTTCCCCCCCGCTCGGGTCATGACCCAACTGTGCAGCGCCTTGGGACGTCCTCCTGACGTGAAAGGCGCTTTATAAATGGAATCTTGTTGTTGTTGTTGTTATCTTTAATTTCTATAACGTTCTGTTTTTTCAGCCTATTCCGTACTGGCTGTACAAGTTGCACGGTCTGAACATCAACTACAACTGTGAAATCTGTGGAAATTACACCTACAGAGGACCTAAAGCATTCCAGCGACACTTTGCTGTAAGACACAAACTTTAGACATACCGGGCTTTGCAGCTTTTCATTCCTTTATTTCTGAGATGAGTGACTGTTAGTGTTGCTGTGGCTGAGCTCTGCCAGTGCAGTGTGTGACTGACTGGGGACACTCAGGGAAATCTTTACACTTCTCTCCCTTTCCTTTTGATTGTTTAAGAAATAGTTTTTTTTCTTTTGAGGCTTGTCTCCAAATGCCATCCTTGGCTGAGCATGTTGTGGGGGTGGGGGCTGCTCCTCTGGAACAGTCTGTGAGACGGGAGTCAGTGCAGTTTGGGGGTAATTCTGTTTCTGTGTGGAAGTGTTTGGGCTTGGATGAGACACCTGATATTGAGAGCTGTGGCCCATGCTGCAGCGCATTGCAATGTCAATGCTGTACCTCAGGTCACTACAAGATTGTTTGAGCTTTGTTTTAAAAAGATGGAAGAATTGGTTCTGCTTCATGTGCGTTTTTGTGCGTCTTGGCTCCCAGGAGTGGCGTCATGCTCACGGCATGCGGTGTCTGGGAATCCCCAACACAGCGCACTTTGCTAACGTCACCCAAATTGAGGACGCCGTTTCCTGTAAGTATCAAACTCATGCCAGGGGAAGCTTATTAAAACAATCTGTATATGTTACTGTATGTGTATATGAAGCGCTTTTAAATGTCCTTCGTAAGGGATTATTATTAGTAATAATAAAAATCCCTGCATTTGATATAGTCTCAAAGCGCTTCACAGAATATACTGTAAAGTGAATTCACTATATTTTGTGGGCAATAATAATAATTGGGTACATCTCCAACATAAATATTTTGTAAAGTTAATACTTAATGTTCTAAGGGCAGTGTGTTATGCTATTTTAATTCATCAGAGGTGTTTGTACCTTTGTACTTGGCAAACTAAGTGACGGTTCCGAATCCTGTAAAGTTCCTGCTGACCCGCCTGTCCTCAGCTCTGACAGTAGACCAGAGGAGTGCGGCTGCTGTGGTCAGGTACACAGTCACTACACTGGATAGAAATCCTTTCAGAGTCGAGCACTTTCAGAAGTTTGGGTATTCTAGGTACCCTAATCTTCAAAAGAGTGTGATGCTATCTCTTAACATCTACCTGAAATACCAGAACAGGTTCAGAAACTTTGTTTAACATCTCCTGTGAAAGGCCAAGTCTTCAGCAAACCTGAATACTCCGCTGCCTTGTAGTGCAAACCTTAATTCTAAACTAAAGTTTTTATAAGGTCTTGAATTTGAAATCTTTCTTCTGTGAAGTGAAAGCACTGCCAACATATCATTGGGAGCTGGTGATCTGGAGGTTTGAGCTAGAGCAGATGGTTCCATTAACATATGTTTGTCTAGAAAGAGGTTTAACTGGACACAAAAGCATGCTAATTACTGTTTATTTTAATATGAACAGTGTGGGCAAAGCTGAAGCACTCGAAGGCAGCAGAGAGATGGCAGCCAGATACGGAGGTAATTGTTGGATATGAGTTGCTTATGTGATTGATCTTTCTACCTGCATTCGTTCTGAAGCGATAAATTATAATAATTCTTGCATTTGATATAGCGCCTTATCGCATCAAAGGGGCATCTCAAGACGCTTCATAGAATATACTGTAAAGTGAATTGACCGTATATCTTGTGGGTGAAACATGACAGCCAATTACACACAGCTGGGTCCCACAAACAGCGGTGGATTAAGTGACCACTTTTTTTTGGAGGGGTTATAATCCCCAGATGTGTTAGATGTTAAATGACTTGAACACCCTGCAACTAAGAGATCTGGGTATTCTGATCAATGGAGTGCCCATGTGGATCAGCTGGTTTTAATGCCAGCAGAATTTATATGGATTCCAATTCAGTGTCACTAATATTTACATGTGGGTTTCCCCAAAAGAGTAGTTCTGATAGATGTGGCAAAAACAACAGACCCAACTGAGTGGACCTAATTGTTGTAAATTAATGTTGTAAATTTCAGGAGGAATACGAGGACTCGAGTGGGAACGTGGTCAACAAGAAGACCTACGAGGACCTGAAGCGGCAGGGGCTGCTGTGAAGCATGTTCCCAAATTCCAGCCCAGTCACAGCTTTGCGTTTTTTAATCAGTGACATTGTACACCCATTAGCTGAAAATGTTAGTTTGTTTGAGGTCTTTTGGTTTCCAGAACTGTAGCCTTTATTTTCGTTGCTATGTCTCTATTTCTAAATTTAAAAAAAATGTTGAGAACAGTGAATTAAATAGAATTTCTCGCTGTATCTCTGAGCAAACCACACAGGTACCAAGCTGTGCTGGATGAGGGCAAATCTAGTTTGCACAGGTGTAAAGGACACAATTTCTCCACCTGCCTCCCACCAAAACGAGCTGGAATCCAATGTGATTTCTGTGGGTTCATTTGTGTTCGGTAGGATTTTGTATTTAGTGGTACAGAACCAGATGTTATCATGGATTTACCCACATTCTGTTACGTTAACAATAAGCTTATAACTTTTTGGTGCATGTTCAGGCAAATCAAGACCATTGAGACGTAATTTTTTCATATGGACACTGGGATTGTTCTGTATAATTAGCAGAAAGTTATCTTAATTCTCACTAAGGAGATATATTTTTTAAGATTGGCTCTGGCCCTGGTTTCTGCATTTCCACTCTGGCCACTGGAGTATTATTCATTTTTATTACTTTAAAAATGTTAATGTTTGGCTTAATTTGCATAAATCATAAAACGGTGTAATTGTGTGACTGAGGCGTTAAAAGCTGCCTGACTTCACTGCCTTTATCTCTGCTCATATTGTTTGTACCTGTTTGTATAAACAATACCATTTCAGCTCAATTCCCCAAACCCAATGTAATAAAATCCCGTGTGGACACACAGCTCAGGAGCTTGAGTTATTGGAGTTCAATCGATACCGTAAGACTTTCAAAATAGAATAAAATTCTGAGATTGTGACAATACCTCAGTTATTTGTGTCTAATACTTTAGCAGCTCTTGTCACCCTGTGTGTTAGGCTGACTCAGTTGCTGGCACTCTCGCCTCAGAATTAGAAGGTTGGAACTTGAAACAGATACAATCTAAGATGACACTCGGGTGCAGCATGAAGGAAATGAAAGGTGCTAAATCAAAAGTGTTAGAATCATTGAATTTTACGACACAGAAGGAGGCCATTCGGCCCATCGTGCCTGTGCCAGCTCTTTGAAAGAGCTATCCAAATTAATTCCACTCCCCCGTGCTCTCCCCATAGCCCTGCAAATTTGTCCTTCCCAGATATCTACTCTTGAAAGTTGTTATCGAATCATCTTCCACCAGCCTTTCAGGCAATGCATTCCAGATCCCAACAACTCATGTGAAAACATTTCTCCTCACCCCCCTCTGGTTCTTTTGCAACTGTTTTAAATCGGTGTCCTCGGGTTACCGACCCACCCGCCAGTGGAAACAGTTTCTCGCTGTTCACCGTATTGGATCCGCTCATAATTTTGAACACCTCTATTAAATTTCCTGTTTAACCTTCTCTGCTCCAAGGACAATAATCCTCACTTTTCTACCTCTCCTGATAACTGAAGCCCCTCATTCCTGGTACCTGGTCAATCTCCTTTGCATCCTCTCCAATGCCTTGACATCCTTCCTAAAGTGTGGGGCCCAGAACTGAACCCAGTCTCGAGCTGAGGCCTAACCAGTGTTTTATATAAAGGTTCATCATAACTTCCTGACTTGTGTACTCTGTGCCCCTATTTATAAAGCCCAGTATCCCGGATGCTTTTTTAACAGCTTTATCTCCCTGTCCTGCCACCTGCAAAGATTTCCTTATATGACCCCCAGGTCTCTCTGTCCCTTCACCGCCTTTAGGATTGTACCATCAGTTTATATTGCCTCTCCTCATTCTTCCTCACAAAATGCATCACCTTGCATTTCTCCGCATTAAATTTCATCTGCCACGTGTCTGCCCACGTTACCAGTCTGTCTAACTCCTCTTGCCGTCTGCTACTTTTCCTGGCTTTGTATCATCTGCAAACTTGGAAATTGTACTCCCGATACCCAAGTCCAGGTCATTTATACAGATTAAAAACAGCAGTGTTCCCAATACCGACCCCTGGGGGACACCACTGTACACTTCCCTCCAGTCAGAGAAACAACCGTTCACCACCACTCTCTGTCTCACAGCCAATTCTGTATCCCTGATGCCACTGTCCCTTTCATACCATGGGCTTCTATTTTTTTAACAAGTCTATTATTTAGCACTTTATCAAATGCCTTTGCCAATTCCATAAAACTACCTCAACTGCACTACCATCATCTCTGTTACTTCATCAAAAACTCTTACCAGTTTTGGGGGTTTTGTTCGTGTATCGAGTGGAGGGAAACTAATACTATACTTTGCAGTTTTAAATCATACCTGTGGACCAAGGCTATATACTTTGCTGACGTTCAGTGTTAAATTTGATGGCAGCCATCATTACAAACTGGTGTAAAGTCTAGGCTGATTTTCAATTTAACCAGTGACTTATTTCAGTGCAATTGCTGCTATGCTCACTTGCTTAAAATAAGACTGTGACTGATAAATTCCTGATTGTTAACATGTTCCTTCCTGCAAACTGGTAACTTTTTAATGGGTTGATCTCATTGAGGGTGGGGTGGCAGGGATGCTTCAGCTGATCTTAGTGTTTGTTGTGCGAGGCACAGGAAAAATCATCTCGTGTTGCCACTCTTATCTCTATCCAATGGTGGGAAGTCACATGTGTGGATGCCTGAGCACAGGATGATTTGGCTGTGACGAGCATTGGGTGACAATATCCAGTAAGTACGTGGCAACGTGAGCAACAGGCACTCGTGGCCAGTGATCCAGCCAAGTTCATCTCTCCAATAACAGTTAAAAGTAGTTGAAATATTATTATTATTATTATTAAGTGATTGCCGTTGAAATACCTCCTTGCCCCATCATTGTACTGTTACTTAATAAAACCATACCAACCGGCCTGCTCTCTCTTTCTACCGCGCTTCTGGTCATCCTCGCCACCCCGCCCCCCCCTTTGGTCCTACCACTCTTGATTCCAACTCCCAGCTCTGGTTCAAATCCTTGACTGTCCAGTGCCTTGGGACGTGCTCCCGATGTGAACGGTGTATACATGCAATTTGTTGTTTTGAGATAACTAATTGGTGCTCTTTAGTGCCAGCCTGGCTCAGTCAATAGCAGTCTTTTCTCTGAGTCAGAAGGTTGTGGGTTCAAATCCCATGTCAAGACTTCAAAAAGACAACTAATTGCATGTATAATAGCGCCTTTCACCTTGGGAAGAGCTGAAAAAGAGAGTGGAATTTCTCTAGGCGACCTTGCCTAACATCGGTCACTCATTTCAAAGTTGTTCATGGGACATTGCTGTGTGAAATTAGCTGCTGTGTTTGCCTACAAAATACAGGCTTTACCCTTAACAGTGAATTCCTGTGAAGATACTTGAGATGTTGTTTTGATGTGAAAGGATGATTATTATCGCAAACCAAACCAACCTGTGAAATTACAATGCTGGATTCTTTGTTTAAAAAAACATTGTGGCGTTCCCCCAACATGAACCAGTTTGCTCAGGGGAGTAGGCTTTTTAAAGGCTTCTATCATCACATTATGTTTCGATGATAATTGTTTGTAATTGTTATTGGGAGGTGACCTTCACTCTCGTACCTGGGTTGGATTACTGGGTGCTGAATGCTCTGTTACACTGCGCCCTTCATGTGGGCGGGGTCTCAGGGCACTCAACAGAAGTATGGCTTGGTTCTGAGCTGGGGGGAGAGGGGAGGTGGGCCGCAGGCACGGTCGAAGAGGAAGGTTTTCAGGAGTGATCTGAAGAAGGCAAAGAATGGGGGAGGCATAGGGATGGAGGCAGAGAGTTTGAGTTTCAGGTTGTAGTGACTGAGCATGGCCACCAATGGAGTAGAGGGGCAAAGGGACATGCAGGAGCCTGGAGCCAGTTGAGGGAAGGGGTGGGTGGAGGAGTGCAATGTAAATAGTTTGGAGAGGTTGGGAAGTGAATTGGTTTGTACACGAGTGTGAGGATCTTGAAATCAATCCATTCTGCAATAGGGAGCCAGTGGAGCCTGGCAAGGACTGGGGTGATGGGGGGGATTTCGGTACAGGTAAGGATATGAGTGACCGAGTTTTGAATTAATTGGATTTTATGGCTGGAGCTGGGAGACTGTTTGGGAAAATCGAGGCATGAGGTGTTGATAAGGGTGTCAGCTGCGTTGGGTGTGAGGGACGGTCAGCGATGGGTAATGAGATGGAGGTTGAGGAAAGCGGTCCTGGTCGGGCACCGGATGTGGGGTAGGAAGGTCAGCTGGGGGTCAAACTTGACGCCAAGGTCACGCACAAGGAATCAGAAATCAGCAGCATTGATCCTTTGCGTGCTGACTGTATAAGGGCAATCGATTCAGTCCTATTTACCTGTTCCCCCTCACCCCCCTTTACCTCTTTAGATATCTATCTAGTTCACTCTTAAGAGATAATAATAATCCTTGCATTTGATATAACGTCTTTCACATCTCAAAGTGCTTCACAGCACTTCATTGTAACGTGTGCTGTGTAGGTGAACGCTAGCTGCTACTGTGGATCCTGTCTGGATCACTGCACCGCAGGACATTGCACAAATGCCAACAGCTCTCTGTGTAAAAACAATCCTCCTCATCTTCCCCTTTAATTCCCTCCAGTCGCTGACTCGCTCGCCGGGCAGAGGGATCATTTCTTCCTCTCGACTCGATTTGAAAATAAACAATCTTAAAGGCTTCTATCAGGTTTCCCTCCAGTCTGTTGAGAGAATTAATCTACATTTTAGAGAAAAGAAACCAAACTACATCGATCTGGGATATAATATACGATGTTGTGACCTTGTTTGTGTTCCCCATGGCACCAGGGAGTTGTTATGTGTTGTGTAGTGTTGGTGCTCAGCTGCCCGATGGCCCTCGACTAACACACTGTTTGCCCTCAACCCTGTGCTGAGCGCCCACACTGTTCGCAGCACTTTACAAAGTCAATCCCAGGTCAGGGTCACACAGTCACACGCTGCTGCTAAAAACTCACTCGAGTCATCGGAGTGCTCTTTATTTTGGCTAAAGGAGCATTTTCAGGTGACAGGCCCCAGGCTTGTGTTGTTACAGCTGCTCTCTCGCTCTCTCTCCATGTGCTTTGGGTGGAAATGTGAGCACTTTTCACCCAAATTATTGTGCAGTGCGGAACATTTGTTGGGATTTAGCAACCACAATGTTTCTTACAGAAAAGCTGCGAGTTAGTGCTTGGCTGCTTCTGCGGGAGCTTGTGTAACGGTAATTGCTCCACCGTTAGCCAGGTACGGGGGGAGGGCAGGTGTGTTGTGCTGCATGACTTGTGACTGCGCCGTGTTCACTGCACCTCAGTCACCTGCGGCCGGTACAGGAGCTGCTCCCCTGAGAGTCCCATTGGAAACATTGGCGTGTGTTGTTACTGAGGAAGCAATGCCTGTGCTGTTTTCTTCTTCCTCCCCCCCCACCGCCTCTCCCCCCCCACCCCCTCTATCCTCCCCTCCCTCACTCCCCCCTCCCCCACCTCCCACTCCCCTCCCTCTAACCCCCATCCTCCCCCTCCCTCTCCATCCCCTCCTTCTCCCCCCACTCTGTGTCCCCTCTCCCCCTCCTCCTCTCCCCCCCTCCCATCCCTCTAACCCTCATCCATCCCCACCCTCTCCGCCCCTCCATCTCCCCCTCCCTCACTCCCCCATTCCTCCCTCTCCCCCACTCCTCCCTCTCCCTCCCACATCCTCTCCCCTCTCCCTCCCTCTCCCCCGCCTCACTCCCCCACTCCCTCTCGCCCCCTCCCCCCACTTAATAATTCTATTCAATTTTCTATCTAAAAGATTTTTTGTTGTGTATTTAATTCACCTGGTGATTGTGTTGACAGGAGGATGGCAGAGTCCCTTTAACCAGGGCCTCAATAGGCCTTTGC